TCTGCAGGACTGCGGCTCTCCAGGACAGACGTTCGCCACCCCTGGTCTACACCAAACATAATTAGACTGCAAACTTAAACCAGATTCAGGCAGATTTACTGAATGGAAAGTGTTTGGAACCTAAAATCACAAACTTTCACAGTGTATTTCATATGTTACTATTTTGCAAAAGATTACATTGATAAATAGGTTCACGGTGCATGTTCTCAGTATTTTCTGCTGAGTTCAGTGTGCTGCAGTGGCAAAAATAGAAACTCTGCTGTGTGAATGTTGCAGCCTTTTAGCATGGTTGCCAAAATTAATATGTGCAGCTGCCGTGCTTAATATAAGCTTAATATATTATGGCTGCCGTGTGGAACATGGAAGAAAAACTGCCAATTTTTACAATGATGATTTCGAATGGTGACTTAAAATAATAATGTGCTTATTAAATGTCACATTGTTTTGCCTCTCAGACTTTTTGTTCTGGTGGTTCTGAACTTGGGGCTGTTCTTTAAACTTTGGGCCATGGAAGATGTCGCTCACCGTTTGTATCTGAACACCAAGCACAGAATGAAGGAGAGAGTAGAGTCTAGGTAAAGGCTCTTTCACATTGTACATTTTGTTAATTTTTATGAACAAAACTGACTTCATGTTTTTATATACAGTAGTTTAGCACCTGACTTAGGCCCCAGAGAGGGCATGCCACACAGAAGTCGAGAAGAAGCGCATTTACTGAGGGCAGTACTGCAGGACTCCATTAACCTTCTAGAACAGGTATGTATGGGTCTTTTATTAAACACACCATGCAATAACATGTAAATGCAAAACAAACTCTGGTTGTTCACCATTACACATCAGTGAGAAGGTCCTTCTTGTCTAATTTGGCAGTTCTTGACCAGAAAAAGTTGATCTTATGTTGTTAGTCTAAACTATAGCTCCATAAGGTATCCTGTTTGGCTGGGAAGTCTCTTATGTGATTGTTTATTTTTGCTGGTTTCTTCTTCTCCACAGCTACGCAGTTCTCTTGTGGTGCTTCAGCAGAACTTTCAGCTCTACAACAGATCCTCCTCTCAGCTTTAAATGGCATTGAGTTTGGTGACCTGACAACACAAGGGTATTCTTCCCATAAGACCTGTCCTCGCTGAGGAGTGTTGCCATAGGTACTGTC